AAGAAAAATATGATATGAGTGTTGCATTAAAGGAGAGCGAAGGCCAATTTTGGTCAGTTTGTAACCACACTATTCCCATTTGGCATTTAGGAGATCCTAAGGATGTAAGAGAACCATCTGTATAAAATTGAAGAGCGTTAGCATTAGTGAATTGTAATTTAAAACAGTCTAATTTATTGATAAAGGTTTGATCAAAGAGGCTAACATCTAAGCTAGGTAAAGATCTAGTTAGATATTGATAAGGAGATGTCAATGTTGACAGAGCAATTTCACGAAGCAAAAATTGAGAAAGACTATACCACCATCCCTCGCAATGTTTGTAAAAAGTTTTAAATGTGAAACAAAATGACTTGGATAATTTGATAGCACAAAACTGGTGATGTTGTTATTATTTGTAAGGTATAAAAGCTAAATAGTCAAAAAGGTTACATCTAGTATAAGAAGCAATAGGTGTTTGAAGGTTATCAGCCTGATTTGGCAAAAAATGTTATGCGTGGATGATAGTATCTTTGACTTTGACTACTTTGCCTAATATGAAGGTTATATACTGGTTAGACCAAATTGTAATAAAAGTTGGGTTGGTTGCTGAAGTGTTAAAGTTGGTTAGTTGAGTAGGTTGTTTGATAAGTGAAGTATGAGGAAGACATTTATTGAGTAGTAGTCAATTCAAAGTACTGGTTAAGAGCTGCGACTCTAATAGTTTGAACCATTTAGCATTATGAAATACTGAGTCATAAACCATATTTAGGTCAAAGGCTGTGAATAGGTGAGTACCATCCATGGTGGTAAGTTGATCAATGTATAAGATCGAAAGTGAACGCAGTTTTATTATATTTTGCCGATAAACCTTGGAGGGAGAAACTATATTATTGGGAGAGACCCTCCATCTATTTGTTTGAAATTATAATCTTTATCTATACATTGTTGGAATTTAAGTCCAATCTGTTTAGCAGCTGACAGAAATCCTGACCACCAGTCTTTAAAAGGCTTTGTGTCTGTGTAAGACCAATCTGTTAATGGAGACGAGGATAGCCATTCCAAAATTTGTAATTGCAGAATTCGTAGCCACGAGATTAAACCAAGAAGTGAAATGTCATTAATCATTTTTAATAAGTCAGATAACTTGGCTTGAATTTGTTTGTCATACAGATGTGCTAAATTGTAGCTGAAGGTTGAGTAAAATACAAAAGAAGATATAAATCTTAAGAGTCCTAGTTTCTTTTTGAAGAAGTTTCTGAAAGAGGTCATCAAAGTATCACAAGCTGAATGAGGAATAAACGTCAGTTTTATTTTGTATAAAAGACGAGAGATAATGACAGTGTTAAATATTGCAACCATTTACTTCGCAATTAGCCTTTTTTTCTCAAATACGTTCTTTGTTTTAGTAAACTCATCATGAATTTATTTGGTGATAAATTGTCTGTTATTGAACAGAGATACCCAGACTCCTAAATATCTGATGGATTTCTTGTGATATAGTGGTATGAACCAAATATTATTTTCATTGAAATTGAAATTAACGGAAGAGGGATCTTTGTCATTTATTATAAGGACAGATTTATCCCAGTTGACTTAAATACTATTAAGTGTATAAAAAGAGTCGGCAATTCTCATGATGTTTAGGAGGTCTGATCTGGAATTTGCAAGCCAGAGTGTATCGTCCATATATGCCAATGTGGGAACGTGGTTGGAAAAACTTTGAATATTACGTTTTATAATGTCAGTATTCCAGTGAATGTGTTATGTATAGCTGTGTGATGAGTTTTGCACAAAACAAAGAAGCGGGTCATAATATATGCACTATAAAATGGGTGATATAATTTCGCTTTAGTCGATACCTGAGAGAACTAAATAAGTATCAGAATTACTGTGTGCGGTAAACATTTGATTAAAATGAGAAATGAAAATCGAAATTAAAAATTTTATAAATGCTTCTGAGATTTGGAGACGTCTAAAGGCTCTGATTAACATGGTAATATTAACACAGTCATATGCTTTTGACATATCTTGGAATAAGATCCAAAGGTTATTGTAATGAAACGAGGCGTTGTAATTGATATTGTTAAATATATGAATTGGTTCAAAAGTACTCCTGCAAGGCAGACCAGCGAAGTTGTTTCCTTTGAGAATATTGTTAGTAGATAAAACGTTTAAGAGTTGACTATTGATTAATTTAGTGAGAGCTTTACGTAAACATTCGAGAAGTGTGATTGATCGTGTATTTATTAAATTGTATTCCCAGGATTTTAGCTTGGGTATTGGATATACAAAGGCTAGATTCCATCTACTAAGTGTTATATTGAGTGACAGGCATTTGCAAATGATGATCTAGAAGCATTTTGCCGCAAAGGGGCTGAGGTGTTTTAATATCTCATTGGAAATCTTAGATGGTTCAGGAGCTTTTCCATTAGGAAGTGCCCTAATGATATTGTTCCACTCTTTATCTGAAGGAGGTTGCATAATAGTGTGGTATATCTCAGGATCAATTGATTCATCTGGTGTATAAACTTGTTCCTAAGCCTTAGGGAGGGATGGGTTAGAATATTGTGAACTAACCACTTTTTGAAAATGTCTTGCCATTTCATTTTGAACATCCTTTGGGTCCGTAAGGAGTTCTTTGTCAGGGCTGTTGTTGTTAATGCATTTGTCTAGTATAATAGTAGTTCAAGAATGATCTAGTAATGAATTAAACATAGCTTTTTGATCATCTGCAAAGTTAGCACAACGTCTTTTAATAGCTTCATTGATGGCTTTGGTTTTCAGCTCTGCTTCGTTTAATTTGGTTGCAGTAGAAAGAACTTTTTGAAGATCAATTAATAAGGGATGGAGCGTTTTAATGTCCTGTAACGAGAGGTGACTGATGTCAAGGATTGTTATGGCATATTCTGTTGAGAAAGCTTGTACTTTTTGATACCATATGACCCATTTAGGATTGACGATATTGCTTTTGATGCATTTGTCACTAGATTTGCAAAGTTTTTGAATTGTCTTAATACGTTTATAAATCAATTTAAGGATACGTGGTCTAAGGTCTCAGTTGTGGTGTGAGGTATATTTATTAGGAATTGTTTTGATGGCAGTATCTATAATTGATTTTTGTAAAAGATCTCAATAGTGGTTCAAATGGTATATAGTGTGTATGCTCTTTAACAACATGTTATATAGCCTTGTATTTTTACATTGTCAATCAACTGAAGTTCCAAAGGCAGACCAGTTCTCCTTAGACATTTTGTTATATTGAAATACTAGCTTTTTAATTGTAACACGTTAGGTGAAAGATGGATTAATAGATGCTAATGAGATAGTTGCATAAACGATAACATGGTCTGACAAATCTCTATTAACCTTTTCTACAGTTTAGTCGATAAGGTCAGGGGTTAATGAAGAGTGCATAAAAATGTGGTCTATTATAGAATGTCTAGTACTAGTTTTATATATAATGAGATCATCATTTGATTTTTGATTCTTGACAAGGTTAAGATTGTTAATCATGTAAAGATTATCGAGCGAAGTGAAAAAGCTTTAGAGTTGAAGGATTGGAGGGTCATGATGGATCAGTGTTAAAATTGCCTAGGATTATTGTAAGGAAGTCCTTTTAGTATACATCGTTTATTAAGTCTAAAGCCTTTTTGTAAGTTTTTTCATGTAATGTTTTGTCAGAACTGGAAATATAAACGTTAATGATATGAAGTTTTTGTTTGTTTTTAAATTAAAAATCTATTGAGTATATGCGATGAAAGAAGGAGAAGTGGTGAAAAATATGGTCAGCCAGATGTTTTTTAATTAGGAAGCCAACTCTGAAGCCCATACTTTGTGTTGAGGGGTCAGTATTAAAAAAGGAACAAATTTATTTGAACAAATGAGTTTTAAGGAGTGTATATAGGATGATTTATTAAAATTTGTTTCTTGTAAAACGATAACATCTAAATGGTAAAGAGAGTATAAATTAAAAAGAATTTGTTATTTGTATGTTAAAGTAAAAGAACGAGTATTATAGGTAGTGATATTAAAGGTGATAGGCATTGTTTCTGTATTCAGTGGTTGTAATATCATAATTATTTAAAGAAAAGTTCTGGGGTAGGAACCTTTGTATTATCTTCTAAGGAGTCAATTACGTTGGGTATGTTAAGTTTAGGAATTAGAATTATGTGTGTCAGATGTGTGTTGTCAAGGACCATGTGTTGAACGTTGGAAATGGCTTTAAGAGCGATGTTTAATTTTTCAACCATAATTTTATTGTGCTTTCGTAATTCTTCAGTTTTTGTGTATAGGATTGCGATATGTAGAGATAGGACTTAAAAATTATTTTTTAAGTTTTAGTACTTAATAATGTAACTTAATAAGGATCTTAAAAAAGATTTTCAAAAATTACACTTATTAAGTCAACCTAATATTGTATTACATATTGTGTAACAAAACTTTTGTTAAGGCTATCGGGTCTAACTAAATTAATAAAATTTCACTGCTTTTTTGTGTTCAAAATAAACGTAATATTCATGTTACATAATACTTTATAATGATATAAAAAAATTTTTTTTTACAATTTTTTTTAACGTTCTAAATACCAAATCATGTAAGATTAATAGTTTTAAGCATTAGAACCATTTAATGACTTCAGCATTCATATAATTTTAATATATTTGAATAAATTTCAAATAAGCACTAAATGGAGATAATTTTCTCGTGGTATTTTGTCCAATTTTTCTAATTCAAACCTGCAAAAATCTCTTATATAGAGGTTTAAAATTTTCTTTTTTTATAATGTTGGCCTTTATTCTTACCAAATTTTTTTACCTTTACTATCGTCATTCTTCAAACTTCTTTTTTTTTTAAAAAAAAAATGAGTAATAAATGAGGTCGACGTTCAAATAAAATTTGGGACCATTTTGAAGAAGAACTTAAAAGAAATACTTTGCATAAAGCAGCTATTTGTAATTATTGTGAAAAAAATATTCTTGGCATTTCAGAACAAATGGTTAATCATCTTTGTAAATGTGAAGATGCTAGTAATGATATTAAAGAAGCTTTTCAAGAGATTAAAAAAAATAATAAAGAAGCAAACAAAAAAAACAAACAGCAGTCATCATCTACTCCTTCAATTACTAATATACCTGTAATAACACCATTACAATTACAACAAATACAATTGAAAGCAAATTTAATTCAATCATCAATAGACAATTATGCAGATAAACCATTTTCAACATATAGAAAAAAAGCAATTTACAAACAAATTGGTTGTGCAGTTGCTTCAGCTAATTTACCTTTTTCGTTTGTTGATGATCCTGAAGTTAAGAAACTATTTGCTTTGTTTAATTCATATTTTAAATTACCATCCTGAAAATGGCTTAGTACAGATATAATTGAGGATTTGAATAATGATGTTGTAATTAAAATTCAGAATTTTATAACTAATTCATATTTTATAACTCTTTCTGGAGATAGGTGGACTAGTCAAACGTGTAATAATATTGTGAATTACGTATTAGTTAATGAAAATTAACAAAGTGAATTATATAAAATAGAAAACAAAACAAATCAACAACATTTAGGCGAAAATGTTTATATGGATTATAAAGAAGTTAGTATGGAAATTGGACTTAAAAAATGGGCTGGATTTGTTACAGATAGTGGTGGAAATTATGCTAAAGCTAGATGACTAATGAATTCTGTATATATATATTTTATATATTTTATTTATTATATTTAATAAAATTTAAATCTTATATTTTATTTAATTTAGGATCCTGAAATTCAAGGGCGTGTTTTATGCTTACCTTGCATGGCATATCAAGGAAATTTATTAGCTAAAAATATAATTGAATTTGCATATTTTAAACTAATAATTAAACAAATGCTTATAATTATTGATCATTTTCATATTGCTAATTTGGCAATTCATAAACTTCGTCAACTTTCTGATAGGCCAACTTTTAAAATGCAATATCTGACTTTAATGCGTTGGGCTACTTTCGCAGTATCAGCATCACAAGTAATAACTATGAAGGATTATTTAAAGGTATTTATTAAATAAATGATTATTTATTTAAGA